AAAACTAATATATAATTATTGTAAAAACTTTCAACATTACAAAAATATATATATAAAGTAAAAATTCCCCTGTAATCCTAACCCTAGAGATGACTATGGATATGTGTGGTCTACTTAACGGCATTTTACATTAAGTGTTCAAAATGTTTATAAATTGTCCTGTGATTAGGTTTTTTTCACTGAATAATATATGGTAAGTGTTTAAATGAAGAGCGAGCAAAACCAGACCTGGGGTGTGAGTTCTCGTGCCGTCTTCACTGACGCCTGAATGCCTTCCACTGTGGATTTATTAGCAGTTCCAACAGCAGCCGCCTTCTCTGCAGTGGCACCAAGCCTTCCTGAATGGTTTTCAAAGTTAGCTGCCCTCTCATCAAATACCTTGGGGAAAAAATAAAGACAACAAGAAAATTTATTTCAGCAAAATGGCCAGACAGCCTAAGAAAAGGTCTCTTTGTTAAGCAGAGGCAGCAACTGCACAAGCAAATGATATCAAACCCTAGTTAATAAGACAACAGTCAAAAGCCAAGTCTTGGCTTCAGAGGTTTGACCATAGACATCATGTGCGTGCACATACACATACACACACACGCAATGTACACTCGTGTGCACACACACATACACAACCTTGAATTTTGGTTCAACTAGTGCTTACCAAATGGTAGCAGGACACACAACACTGCAACAAGGAGTTCACAGAATGTGAAGACTAAATAATCCCCATTCCCAAGAAGCTTATCATCTGGTTTAAAGAAGACAAACAAACCCAGTCCAAGCTCTATCGTAAGGGGCTGGGTGCATTAAAAGCCAAGAATATCCACAGAGAATCCTAAACTGAGCTCCAGCTTCCCTACGGCAGCATCCCTACTAGATCCCATTAGCACTAATGGCGTAAAAACTCTGCCCCGACCTCCGTGCGGAAAACCAGAGCTGGTGCTCACACTCAGGCCTGACACAAAAGCAAGGATGGCTGACTTTTATTAACCCCTAATGCAAAACCATCTATTGAATTGTTCGTTCAGCTATCAAATTTTAAAAAGGTTAACTTTTCCTCCAATGTGGATATTATGAAAGGATACATACCATGGAGGGGCTAATTAGCACAGTTAAAATGACAAAGGCTCTTCTGTCACTTGTTTGGTTAACATTATTAGAAACGATGCTGGAAAAAGCAAAATATATCAAACATTACTAGGTCAGGATTACACTACACACAGAGTGTGCTGAGAATTGCCTGACACAACTCATCCTCTTCTTTGACTCCTGAGAGTCTACCTGCTCCTACTCAGAGGCCAGTTCTGGCTCTGGGAAGTCTTTAAAGATCACCTGCTTTGCAAGGGCTCTTGGTTCATAAGCAGGCTCCATTCTCCTTGACAGTTCAGTTCTTGGTCTATCCACTTAACTCTCTTCCTCATCGTAGCCTCTTGTTTGGATTCAGCTACCTGGGTACTTGCTGCCTAATGCCCAGATTCTCTTCCTACATCTCTGATCTCCTAGTCCCCTTCTCCTGGTCTCAGTCCTTATTTTTTACTTCAGCTGGTCTCCCACATTCTGAACCTATAGGGCTTTTGCCTATCTTGGTTGACCATCTAGATCCCCGACCATGTCTGCTGTTCCCTCTGAATTAACTGACTGCTTAGCTTGCTTTTCTTGTCACTCAACCAAAATTTATTGAGCACCTACTACATGGCAAACCCTGGGGTATTTGCTAAGGATATAAATATGAATATGACATAACCAATCTCTGCATCTCAAGGAGCTCATAGGCTAGTGGGGCAGGAGGAAATGCTTATAAACAGTTATTTATAATACAATGTGCTAAGTGCAATATTAGAGCTAAGCACTAATATTATAGGAGAAAAGGATAATAGGATAAATAAGAATTAGTCAATAAAGAAGGAAGGAAAGAGAATTAGGCAGAGAGACAGAAAGAACAAAGACATGGAAGAGAAAAAGGACAGAGTATGCAGAAAACCATAAACAATTAGGTATTACTAATTACCTAATACCACTAAAGGGTTTAAGCAGAATAGCAGAGTCATATTTCTATTTTTATTTGATTGGTGGCCTAGTGGCAGATTTAAGGCAGACCAGACAGGCATTAGCGGACAATGACCAGAACTAGAGTTGTGGTATCAGGGATGGAAAATGGAAATGATTCGAGAAATATTTGGGAGATCAAATTAGCAAGCCCTCAGTTACTTACTGGTGTGGGAAGGTGAGGGTAAGGGAAAAATCAGTGGTGACTCCCAAATTTCCAAGAGAGAACAGGAGAAGGATAACACATGCTAAAGTACCTATGAAGCATTTGGGTGGAGATGACCAGCAAACCTGGACCTACTAGTCTGAAACTTGGATCAACTAGTCTGAAAAAATAGCAAATCATTCCAGCTTGAGGGGCCCATGAGCTGAACTGCCCAGTAAATCAGGCTAGAGAAAGAAAATGGAGGTCATTAACAAACACCCACCAGTTCTGCATTGTCTTTTGTTCCTGGCTCAGCAAATATTCCCAAACCTCTTCTCCTTTGCTGCCAATGCTATAGAGGCTGGGAAACCAAATACTTGCTTTCCTAAATTCCTTTGAAGCTAAGGATGGCCACGTGACAGACTTCCAGAATATGAGACATAAGCAGAGGTTCCAGACAATGAGGCGTAAGGAAAGGATTTCTGCAAAAGCCTTCAGTTTCATTTATTCATTCAACACATATTTAGTGTGCACCAACTATGTACCAGGCATTGTTCCAGGAACTGTAATAAAGCTGTGACAAAACAAAGTCCCTGCCTGCATGGAGCTTTCATGCTAAGGTGAGGGAGACAGACAATAACAACAAAAGACAGGTGAATACATTGTATGTCACCTGTTGATAAAGGCTAAGAAGAAAAGCAGGATACAGAGAGTAGGGAGTGCCTGGGGTTGGGGTAGGGTTGTATATAAGGTGGTCACTGAAAAGTGACATTTGAGTAGAAAGCAGAAGACCACAGAGAACAGCAAGTACAAAGGCTGTTAGACCTCCGTACTTATTAACAAGTACAAAGTATGTTTTAACATACTTAACATAACAAGCAATACGAGGAATACAACATGAGAAGCCCAAAGTAGACAGAGAAGTGTGAAGGAGATGAGTGGTACTGTCTGAGGACAGAGAAGTAGATGAGGGACCAGACTGTGTGGGGCCTCATTCAGACGTGGGCTGAAGCCAGCCTGTACCAAATCACACCAGCTTGTAAGAGCCAAATGGGCCCATTTTTTCCCAACTCTGCTTTTAGTGACTTTACGTTGAAATGGCCATGGTGGAAGTATTTACATCATGGAAATCAACAAACACTACACATAAGGGCTTTCTTCTTTTTTTTTTTTCTTCCTCAAGAGCTAACCAGCACATCACTGGCCTTACGAGTCATTATAAGGACTGTGGTTTTACTCTGAAACAAAGACATTGGAAGGGTTTGAATAGGGGGATGATATGAAACTACTGAAATGGTTACCCTACTTCTATGTTGAGAATAAAGTGCCCTAGTAAAAGTGACAGCTGTCACTGGAGCACCTCATCCTTCATGTATTCCTGTCTTGAACATGAAGCCTGGGGCTGCGGCAGCAATCTCACAACCATTAAAAAAAAGACCAAGAAAATCACCGAGATGCCACCTAATGGTGTTATGCTACTGAACCAATGCCAAGGCTATCTACCTCCAGGTTTCTTGCTATGTGATGAAAATAAACCCCTATTTGTTTATTTTGATCTGATGATCAGATCTTCTACTGCTTGCACTTAAAGACATTGCTGAACCGACATACTTGATGACTAAAAGAAGAGATGGCAGGGCCTTCCTCCTTCCACCCTTCATCCAAAATCTCCCAACACTGCTCCTGATATATGCCATAATCACATCTTACCTTTATATAAATATATATATGTGATATATATATGTATATACACATATAGAGCTGAAGTACTGCATTGGAAAATCTGCTGCAAAAGACCTCTTGAAAGTGTTAAAAAAAAAAACAAAGATGTCACTTTGATGACTAAGGTGCACCTGACCCAAGCCATGGTATTTTCGATTACCTCATATGCATGGGAAAGCTGGACAATGAACAGTGAAGACCAAAGAATTGACATATACAACTTTTTGGATCGTGGTGTTGGTGAAGAATATTGGATACATTATGGACTGCCAGAAGAATGAACAAATCTGTCTTGGAGGAAGCAGCCAGAATGCTACTTAGAAGCAAGGATGGTGAGACTTTAGCTCGCTTACATCAGATATGTCATCAGGAAGGACCAACTGCTAGAGAAAGATATCATGCTTGGTAAAGCACAGGGTCAGCGAAAAAAGGGAGACCCTCAACGAGATAAAATGACATACTGGCTACAACAATGAGCTCAGAACATAGCAACAACTGTGAGGATGGTGCAGGCCAGGTAACGTTTCATTCTGTTATACACAGGGTCACTGTAAGTTGGAGCCGACTCAACGGCACCTAACAACAACAATATAGGGCTGTCCAGCAAAAGAAATGGAAAACCTCAGATACCCACCTCTTCCCTATTAGGTGCATCAGGAGGGGCAGTGGCTGCCACTGCCAACAGCTTGATGGGAGTTGTGGTATCACTGAAAACATCCGACACCTCCTGAGTCATGGCCTCCTGCATCTGGGCTTTCAGATCCTTGAAAACATTGTTCACAAATGAAAATTTCCAGAAATAGCCAACAAACATATCTGCTGATGTCCTCACTTAACTGACACATTCCTTCAATCACTCATTTAGTCCTTCTTTCAGCAAATATGCATGAGTGCCAAATGTGTACAGAGCACTGACCTAGCATAGAACAGCTATAAGATACAAATCCTGCCCCCTAAGAGATTTGTGTCTTCTAGGAGGGGTAAACCATGACCCACATTTTCCTAGAGACTGTTCTACCCAATCAAGGAATCTCACTTTCCCTCTTAGGGGCCTCTATGGGGTTAAGCCCGAAGCAGGCCCTGAGACTAGAGTTCCTCACCATTCCCAGTGCTGGAAGGGCTTGATAAAGACCACTGTACCTATTTGGTGGATACAATACCAAATTTCTAAGCATTTTATTATTTTAAGAGGAAAGAAATCAAGAATAGGATTTTTTTTTTCCCGGATCCAGGTTTTCTTAATTAAGCTTCTAAAAAAACTTGATAAACAATATATGTATCCATTTCTTAACATGGGTTTAAACAAGAGAATTCTTAGAAGTCACTAAAAAGATCTTTCTTACAGTCAGTTTAATTTAAGTTCTCTGGATTTATACAATGAAGTCTCCATCAGCCCCAGTGTTTCTCAAGGTAGTGGCATGTGCTGGCTGGTGATACCTGGGATGATTTTAGGCGTTACATGGGCAAAATGTTTTTATCCTAATAATTATGTGCTTCTTCTAATGAATATTAGAAAAATATAACTAGTTCATCAAGCCCACGATTTCAAACTTATTTCAAAGTTTTCTTTTAAATACCTTATTTAAGTTAAAAAAAAAAAAAGGGAGTACATTTTAAGAAAAACATTGACTAAATAAAAGTACAAGCAATATGTGAATACAGCAAAACTCATGAAGGAGGTCTTGATTGAGTGAAATTTGAGAAACAAGGCTTTAATTGCTACCACAGCCTAGTGAGGTTTTTCCTACTAAGTCTGGATTTCTTTACATTTTTGGACACACTCTGCACTTGCCCTAGACTCAAGAAAATTCTACATTTTTAAAAACTCCCTCTCCCTCCCTAATTTTTCAATAATAGTAACATTATAAACTTAATGACATTTGCTTCTGAGTTCTACCTTTAAGGAGTCTTGGAGCTGAGATGCAAGTGCTCTCGCCTGAGGACTCTCTCCTTCCCCTCTGGCAGCCAGGTCGGCCAGCTGGGCCGTCAGCTGGTCCACTCGGTCACACTTTGCAAGAAGATCTTGGCGATAAGGCCCCATCATGACATTAGCCAGACGATGCCCTTCGGCCACAAGCCCCCGGATGGCAGCCTGACCTGGACCAAGGAAAATGTTAAAACTCACATAGACTCAGAGAAGGCAAATAATATAATAATAACATTTAGTGATTTTTCCCCCTAATGCGTGGAAAAAAAGCATGCATGGTTTAAAATAAGGAAAGGTGTGTGTTAGGGTTGTATCCTTTCACCGTACTTATTCAATCTGTGTGCTGAGCAAATAATCTGAGAAGCTGGACTACATGAAGAAGAATGCGGCATCAGGATTGGAGGAAGACTTGTTAACAACCTGCGATGTGCAGATGACACAACCTTGCTTGCTGAAAGTGAAGAGGACTTGAAGCACTTCCTGACGAAGATCAAAGACTACAGCTTTCAGTATGGATTACACCTCAACATAAAGGAAACAAAAATCCTCACAACTGGACCAATAAGCAACATCATGATAAACGGAGAAAAGATTGAAGTTGTTAAGGATTTCATTTTACTTGGATCCACAATCAATGCTCATGGAAGCAGCAGTCAAGAAATCCAACCACATATTGCGTTGGGCAAATCTGCTGCAAAAGACCTCTTTAAAGTGTTAAAAAGCAAAGATGTCACCTTGAGGACTAAGGTACGCCTGACCCAAGCCATGGTACTTTCAATCGCCTCATATGCATGTGAAACCTGGACAATGAATAAGGATGACCGAAGAAGAATTGATGCATTCGAATTATGGTATTAGTGAAGAATACTGAATATACCATGGACTGCCAGAAGAATGAAGAAATCTCTCTTGGAAAAAGTATAGCCAGAATGCTCCTTAGAAGTAAGGATGGCGAGACTTCATCTCACGTACTTTGGATATGTTATCAGGACGGACTAGTCCCTGGAGAAGGACATCATGCTTGGTAAAGTAGAGGGTCAGTGAAAAAGAGGAAGACCTTCAACGAGATGGATTGATACAGTGGCTGCAACAAGGGGCTCAAACATAGCAACAATTGTGAGGATGGTACAGGACCAGGCAGTGTTTCATTCTGTTGTGGACAGGCTAGCTATGCGTCGGAACCCGCTCAACGGCACCTAACAACAACAACGACAGAAAAAACTGGGGAAATACAGAAAAATATACATAAGAATAAACTGCCTATAATCCCCTCACTTGGGAATTGACATATTAGAACATTTCCTTCCAGACTTTTTTCATGCATTGCATGCATCTATCCACCACCACCACCACCAGTTGTCGTCAAATCAATTCCAACTCATAGAGACCCCATGTATTGTAGAGTAGAACTGTACTCCGTAGGGTTTTCATGGCTGTGACCTTTCAGAAATAAATCACCAGGGCTTTCTTCCAAGATGCCTCAGGGTGGGTTCAAACTGCCAACCTTTCTGTTAGTAGCTGACTGCTTCACCATTTGCACCACCCAGGAACTGCAATGCATCTATACACGCACACATTTCTTTTTTACAAAATTGGGATGATAACTGTATGTTAATTTTTTTCTTTGCTTCTTATTTAAAATGAGCATTTTTTAAATATTAAATTTTCTTCAAAAATCATGATATAAAATCTATGCAATATTTTATCATATTAACCATAATTATTTGGCCATTTACCTTATTATTAAACATTTACCGTTTATATACATTAGTATATCTAAGTCTTTAGAAACACCTCTAATTATTTCTTAGAATAAATTCCGAGAAGTCAAATTGCTGTATCAATGAGTATGAACTTTTTAAAAACCCTTGAAATATAATACCAAATAACCATTCAGAAAGTATGTACCAGTGTATTCCACCACCAGTAAATTACACGTCTGCCCAATTCCCTTACCAACACTGGGTATCACCATTTAAAAATTTTATCTTTTTATCCAACAAATATAGCAAATGGAGTAAAAAGATCTTTCAGCTTCAGCAGGCTTGCTATCACAATATGACAAATTCTTACAGGTCCATTCCTAAAGTCTTCTCAAAATCAAAATTTCAGGATATCAAGTTTACAAATCTATAAGTGACTTTGTGATGCAGGAGTCCTCACAACAGAGAATAACCTTGGAAGTTAGGTGTCTTTTACTCATTTTCAAAAATTATATTTAATTGAGCACCTTACAAGGACTGTAATAACTGAAATATACAATACAGTCACCAAAGTTGGAACTGACTCAAGCACAACTGGTTTTTTGGTTATAAGAGAGGAGAAGCATGCATAAAAACCAAAAAAAACCCATTGCCGTAGAGTCAATTCCAACTCATAGTGACCTTATAGGACAGAGTAGAACTGCCCCATAGGGTTTCTAAGGAGAGCCTGGTGGATTCACGCATAGGACTAGAAAATAGCTTGTTTTCAATTTCAACATGAGGACTTTTCTATTCGTTGGCAGCAAAGTCATTTATTCTCTAATACGTCTTGATTAAATCACAAGAATCTTATTGTTTACATCTATGAATGCTATCACACTGTAAAGTGACTTAATCGCCAGAGGCTAAAGAAGCCCTTCAGCATCTAATTATAGACGGCACAAGATCCCTATGAATAACTTGCTTATTTTCACTGAGACCAGTTTAATGAAGGCTAAGTGTACTGATAACCTTACCTACTCCCCGGTCATCCACTGTGGGATTATCAATCCACCGCTGGGCTTGCTCAATCTTGCCCTCAAGATGGACAGCTGCTTTGGTGGGTCTGCTGTTGGCCACAGCCCTATTGGTTTTGGTCTGCAGGTTCTGCAGGGCCGTGGCCACCTGTTTGGCCAGCGCCCGGGCCTCTGGAGCATCTCCCTTCCCCCTGAAGAGAAAAAAAAAAAAAGCAGCCATCTTGTCACACAGAGACACTATTTACATTGAGATGACTTAATTGCTTATGACGAACAATCATTATTACTAACTTGGTTTGAAAGGTTTATCTATCTGGACCTTGTATAAGAAATTATTTAAATTCAGATTGTTTTGTCCTAGTTAAGACATTAAATATGAGTTTGGGGCAGTCAAGGGCACTGGGTTGGCTGACTCCCTTAGTCTGCCATCTCTGAAAAACACTAGTCCCCATAGCGCCTACTACAGGTGGGCCCAGGCAGCCATGTTTGTTGTTGAAGTAGTAGCTGGAGTAGTTATAGTAGAGTAGTAGTAGTACTTACTATCTTTTGAGTCCTAACTCTGCCAGGTACTGTTGCAAGCACTCTCTTGTATTAGTTCATTTAATACTCAAAACCTCTTCTGGTATGAACTCATTTAATTCTGACAACAGTCTTGCGACGTAGATACCAATATTAGCCCCATTATTAAAACACCAAAACTGAGGCACAAAAAGGTTGGCTAATTTACCCAAGGTCCCATTACTTACTGTGGTGGAGCTAGGACTCACACCCAGGCACTCTGACTTGAGAGCCCTCATTTTTAGCTACTATATGTACTTATGCTGGTATCACATAATCTCCAATCCTTGCCACAGCTGACTGAACTGGGTGGTTACCTATCTCAAAGACAATATAACCACATTCAGGCAAGGCACCCAATTAGACTCTGGTGGTTCCCAAAGCTCAATGTGGATAAAAATCACCTGGGATTTTCTTATTTTTAAATGCAGATTGTTAAACCCACCATCAAAAGAGATTCTGATTCAGTATGTCTGGGGTGGGGTACAGGAGTCTGCATTTTTAACAACCTTCCCAGGTGATTCTGAAGTAGGTAGTCCTTGGTCCATACTTCAACCACTGCATAGCCAACCAGTGGTAGAATAGAGGTGGCAAGTCATATTCAGCCTAGGCCCTGGTAGGTCAAAGCCAGACGAAGAAGCCTCAAATAAATAAGGTCAATACACAGAAAGAAACAGAGGGTACTACACAACTGCTAAGAGATAGAGGAAGGGGCTTCTAGTTGCCACAAGGCCTGGTCCCACTGTGCAAGCTGTTGGGTTCCATTAGACACCTACGCAGTCATGCGTCACTTAACGTCCACAATACATCCTGTGAAATAGGAAGTTAAATGATTTGGACGTTGTGCGAATACCATATTATATACAGGCAGTCCCCAGATTATGAACGAGTTCCGTACCTAAATCTGTCTTTAAGTCGAATTTTGTACGTTAAGTTGGAAGAGTTAGGTACAGTTCGAATCTAACCTCAGTTAGTCAAACGTTTGTCTTGCTGTATAGTATATAGTGTTACTTTCTATGCATAAAAAACGTTAAAGAAACAATTCCAGATACACTAAAACATCCTTAACATAATAATACAGTAATAACAATGTTTTGATGCGCATCACAAAATAGCACCCGTTTGTTATTACAAACCATTGTGTACACCTCGAACTTTTAATAGGCTTCATGGGGGTTGTGACCACGGATGTATATGCGGTCAGACGTTGCCCAAAGAAATGTTATATGGCACATGACTGTATATCTTTCAATAAACCCTCACTTTTTGCTTAAGCTAGTTCCTTATAACCAAAAAACCTCAAGAAGAGCACCAGCACAGAAATAAAAAGCAACCACAATTACAACATAAAGGGGAGATAACTGCCCCCAAAACCTTACTCCAAAGACTTCAGATTCTAACCATCATGAGCATACAAAGAGTCTGACTCATTTTATATCTGAAGTCCATTCAGTCATAGAAAAGCAATCTTCAGACTAACCTTATCTGTCTCACTGTAAAGATGAAATTATTAGCCTGTCTGCCAGAAATGACTAATTTAGGTACTCTCTTAAGAGCTCTTTTATAGTTCTAAATCTCTACAGCCTTCATTGTAAAGCTGGATAAAGAGGGTTTTCACACTGGTGATGGCTTGCTGCCAGGATGTTATACGTGTATATACATGTATGCGTGTATATGTACATATTATAGTAATAAGCAATGACAGCATAAGTGACCACACACAAAGATGTGCTTTTACTACTATTATCATTCATTATTGCTTCATCATTAAAAAACATTTAATGAGGCTTACTATGTAACATAGTCTCTGCCTTTGAGTATTTTAAAATCTAAAAGGAATGTAAACTGACAATAGTAATGGCTTAACATTAATGAAAATAGACAACTGTGTAGACAACTATATTTTAAAATTCTTAAATTATACATTTTCTCCACTTAAATAATTCAAGATTTTGGGCATAAAGTAGTAATCTCCAAATGACTGAGCTCGGCACGCCAGCAAATTTGAGTTGTCACCTAAGTTGATGTCCATCACCGTAATCTCCTCCCTAAAACACATCTGCTCTACTCCCACCAAATCACATTCTTTAGGCGGGAGTTTGCTTTCTCAGCCAACATTGCCCTCTTAGTCAATATAAGACTTGAAAGAACTCTACAGTATCTCTCACTGGAAAACGGTCAGCCACTCCCCATGGAAGAACACAAAACGAAACGTGCAAGTTAAATAAAAGGGAGTATTTCACAAAACACTTGACCATGATTATCCCTGGAGAATGGGATTGGAGGACTGAAGTAGGAAAGAGAGCAACTTTTACTTTTTATCTTGTACCCTTCCTTGGTGTTTTTTTCCCCCTTCCATTAGCATTATTGCAGTTTTTCCCAATGAGAAAAGAGTTATCTATCAAAAGAAGACAGTAACACTTTTTTTTTTTTTCCAAATGACCAAAGTAGGTGCCGTGCCATGAAAGTCTTTAGAAGAGGAAGCTGTGGTGAGGAGGTTGTTACAGGAATAATCATCCAAAAAATGTAATTTAGGGACCTCTTATAATTGCAACTTAAGAAATAACATTGCTGGGAAGGAAGAAGCACCTTCTTAAGTCTACCTCTCTCTCTCTTACACACACACACACACACACACACACACACACACACACACACACACACACACACACACACGCTCCTGTCTTTTCATAGTTAGCCACAAAATTTATTTTCCTCATCTGTCTGGGGAACAGATATGACACAAACATGATGGAGCAGGAAAAATCTTAGCTTAGAATTTGTTTTTTCCTAAAAATCAAAAAATGAGTTCTTAGCATCCTTTTCCTATTAAGACTATGGGATCAGCAATAAATCGCTAAATCTCAGTTATGTCGTTTGTAAAAGACGTAATACCCAATCCAGCCATGTCACACAGAATCAATGAAAATATAGGGGAGCAGCAGCATTCATCCATTTGACCTATGAGAATTTAAGTATGCATGTGCTTAGGTTAAAAAGAGAGAGAGGTTGGTTGACTTAAGGGTAATTTAAGGGATTAAATACATACTGTCTTCGTAGATCTGCTAATTTAGAAGTCAGGGCAGATATTTCTCCAAGTGAACGTAGAATGTCATCTCTTTCTTTAGGATCATCACATAATTCTGCTATTTTCCGAGCTTCAGCCAAAGCCCCTCGAATTTGTTCTTCTCCTTCTGGTCCACCATTTGGATCTGCAAGCCAATTCTACACAGATAGAAAAGGGGAAGAAACAAATGGTGATCTACTCATGAACCACATTTTATTAAACTTAAATTTCTAAAGTAAATCACAAGGCACACCAGTAATCATTTTTATAATGCTAATCCTTACTGTTTTACATGGGTTCTTAGCTCAGGTAAGATCCACTCAATTCCTTATCATTTTAGTAACAATCTGTTTTCATCCTCATTAGAATAAAATATCTGCACAAGATTTGTCTCATCTCCGACTTAATCACACCTTATTAATTCTAGAGTGTCTTAAACATTTGTGTTTCTTTGTAAAATGCTTGAAAATCATTTTACAGTTGGCTAGTATCAGAAAACCTTAACTCTTTAACATTGCTTTGACCAATTGTTGAAAGTTTTGAGACGAGGAACGGTTTTAATATACAGTAATCTGTATCAGAAACTAAGATTTTACTCTTGGTACTCAGTGTGCTTACTTTTAACTAATCAAAGTATTCAAAATCAAAATCTTTATTTCAAAATATGAAAAGCATTAGTCTAAACTTGTAGTGGCAGGGGAGGTGCTGACAGGGGCAACTGCTGAGAATCAGTCATCACCCAGAAACACCCATTATCTACCCACAGCCACTGACTAGAAAATAAATTACTCTTTCTTCCCTATGTATGACAGTTGCAGAGAGAGAAGGGGAGGGAGGGGAAGAGGATATTTATGGAGCAGTTCTCCTTCGCTTTGCTGTCCCCACCCCTCCTGAAGATCACATCACTACCTGAGCAGCATCAATTTTCTTCGCGATGCTCTGCTTTGAGTTTGTCATGGCTTCCAGCTTACGGGCTGCGTTTTCCACTTTTGCTGTGAGCACATCCAGACCCTGAGACACCTGCTGGGCTTTCTGCATGGCCACCGGTGAGGCTCCTTGTCCTCTGCTCAAAACATACAGATGCAGACTGCCATTGTACTCTGCAAATACTTACCAGCAAAAGATTCCTAACAGCACAGTACATGTCGTTTTTGTTAACATGCTTGTCTTTCTCCCCACTCTTTCCCAGTAAACATGGGATAGCACAAGAAAACACAGAGATAAACAAAGCACGACACCCAAACCATCTATTTTCTCCTTTGCTTTTAGAAACACACATTACCTTCATAGAACTGTATAACCACTATGAAGACCAGGTCTGCAAATTTTGATAATAATGACTCTGCTTCGGGTGGTGATTATATAATCAAAGCTAAACTTCAGGAGAGAAATGTTCTCATGATTTTATTGCTATGGAGGGCGTTGTTACCATAGTAATGTGTGCTTTAGAAATAGCCCCTTAGATTCTCTAATTTATGGGCAATATACAGTGAAGTGCTTCAAGTGGCAGCACACACAGTGTTATTGAAACCAGACCAAGCAGATCTGTGTTCCAATCCTGGCCCCTAGTACTTGTGGAACCTTATTTAAGATGTTTCACCTCACTGGACTTCAATTTTCTAACTTATAAAATGAGAGGTGGGGGGTAACAATACTTGCCCTTGCCCTTCTTACCAAACAGTTTCTTTGAGCATCAAGAAAATACACTTGAAAACATTTTGGCAATAAAAAGCTATACAAATATATAACCTATTATCATTATTGAATTATTGCCATTATTATCACTATAATGAACCTAATGGTAATTTTTAAATATCTACTTTCCACTCCTATGCAATCTAGAAATATCAAAGCCAGTTAGTACTGAGGAAAGCATGTGGGTACAAGGAACTTGTTTTCCATCAAGTTCCTGAAGAACTAATTTCACTATTTTCCTCTCTGAGAAGTGGTATGCTACTATTACAAATATTGACATGAATTAGTAGAAACTTGTTTTCCCTGTGAAAGAGACTTTCCAAGTAATAACGAAGTAAGATTTGCCGCACAAACTCAGACCTTTTTCATCAAGCCAGTGGCCCAGTGATTAAGAGCTATGGCTGCTAACCAAGCGTTGGCAGTTTGAGTCTACTCGGTGCTCCTTGGAAACTCTATGGAGCACTTCTACTCTGTCCTATAGGGTCGCTATAAGTTGGGATCGACTCGATGGCACCGTGGTTGTTTTGTAAATTCTACGATATGGGTGGAAACTTTATCATTTCATAGAATGGCACGGTTGACCATCCTAATCTGAACTTTCTATTTTAGGATGAACTCTAAAACAACTTTATTTCCCGTAATAATACAAACTTGTCATTAATTCATTTATCTATCCTCTTTTTGGGTTCACCTCTATTTTCCAGCTACACCAATACTTGAGGTAACGAATTCCATAGATTTATTTCATGGAGGTATATACATATACATAGGAGTCCCTGGGTGGTGCAAACAGTTAAGTGCTCAGCTGCTAACTGAAAGGTTGGCAGTTTGAGTCCACCCAGAGATGCCTCAGAAGAAAGGCCTGGCAATCTACTTCCAAATGGGGGTGGCAATCAGCCACTGAAAACTCTATGCAGTACAGTTCTACTCTGACCCACATAGGGTCTCCACGAGTCAGAATCAACTCAACAGCAACTGGTTTGGTTATAAGTATATAAAGGTATATAAAGAACTACACCTTTTACCTGCACTTGAGGCCCCCCTTTTACACGGCAGTGGAGTGGAAAACATACTCTCTATGATTTAATTTGCTTTTTTTCCTTCAAATCTAGTAACTCATGAGGAGGAACGTTTTGATATGTGTAAGAGTTCAACTGTGAGAAGGTAAAAATATTTATGGGCTGCAAAATTTTCTCACTCAAAATAAAAAGTTGACTGAGTCCCACAGGGAAAAATATTACAGCCTAAAAACCCTACTTCACTGAACAGAAGAATATCAATCAGGAAACTTATTGCTTCTCAGCCACTTAAATGTAAAATAGCTGAGCGTATTTAAGAAGGAATAACAGGAAAATAGCTTTCTAATCTTTCACTGTAAATGGATACTGCAGGCTCCACTGTGAAGTAGGCCCATGGCTGCTCATCACTGTTTCTACCTTTTCTCTTCACAGGTTAATGGTTGAGCCCCTACAGCAACTACCTTACTCTCTTGCTCATATTCATCTTTCTCTAAACACATACAACCGTGTATCTGAGAATTCCAAGTGAAAACTGTCTACCGCACTGTGAAAAGGCTGCAGACAAAGGAGCCAAGAATCTTGTCAGACTCCACCGGCATTTCTGCAAACAGGAACAGAACTTCTTTTTGTCCTTTCTGCACAGTTCTTGTCATGCTCATGACGGGAGACTGCTTCGCAGCAGGAGAAAAAGGCTGACTGAGCTTAATGGGATCATGGTTATTTAAGCTGTTCCTTCTCCCCTTTAAGGGAGAGACTTTTAACCTGAAGCTCCTGGAACTTTCAGGGCTCCAGTGAATCCACGAACTTCCGGAAATTATATATAATATTGTGTGGACATGTCTATATGCATCTTTTTGGGTAGAGGTTAATGGCTTTCATCAGATTATAAAAGTGATCTTGGTCCACAAAAACTAACAACCAGTCATTTAAAATCTTAAGACTTCTTAAGTCTATTATGTTAATATATTGGAGACCAACTGTAACGGTGGGAATACTTTGAGGAGTATTTCCAAGCCCTGTTTGTATGGACCCCCTGAGTATTCCAAGTATCTCAAGATGTTTCATGACATTCTCAAAACAAAATTAAACTTTTCTACATTAGAGTCTCATCATACTTCAATTTTTTTTTAATGTTTATATCATAAAATTCCACAAAAATGAGAATCTTTTAGAACTTTACTTTAGACTCCATGGATGGGTTCCAAACAAACCTATATTATACTCAGTTTTTTCAACAGCGAACTATACATATTTAAGTTATGGAAGAAAAGCTCTAAAACCCAAGACTTGAGAAGGGCAAAAGGGAGGTAAGAGAATTATGGAACCAAATGAATAATGATGAAATAGAAACTCAAAGGAGCCCAGAAATGGCCAATTTAGAGGATAACCTACTTAACTAATTTTAAAAACTATATATGAAACAATTCCGAGGTTTTCACTCTTTATGTTCGTTTTTATCCATCCTTCATTAAAGATATCTACCCAGGCCAGACTTTCACCACGGCCTGTTATTTTTCACAAGCCTATAGCTAGAAACTGAAAAACCAGGTTTACATTTCAATTCCAATTACAGAATAAGTTTCAGCTTTATCACAAAGTATTTTCATACTTTTAAAAAAACTTTCAGCAAAGAAAAGTTTACCTCCATCTCAAAAGAATTAATAAAATATAATATCTATATTATTTATTAGCCAAAAAGATAATTTGGTAAAATTGGCAGAGACCTGCTTTCTAAATACCCCATCAGGAGTGAGATCCCATATATTCTCCACAACTGCTCTGTTAAGACAGAGGTATTCTACCTGGCTCGGAGGTCAGCCACTTGATCGGTCATCTGCCCCAGCATTTTGCAGGTACCCAGGATCTCCCTGCGCTCTTTGCCTGCACAGAGTTCACCAACTTTTCCAGCTTCATCTAAGATCTGCCTGATGGCCTGCTCGCCAGCATCCCCTAAAACGAAAAGAGCTATTCAATGTCTACACTGTTGACACAGTAATTACTCAGCGGGGGTACTTTACAAGTTATTTCATTCATGAAGGGACACATGATTTTAAATGACAAGACAAGTGACTAGAAGGCAATATATCTGATAGCTAACAGCCAGAGCCCTTACAACCGTGGGATGAGGTTTCAACCACAGACATTGCTAAAAAAGATACTTGGAACCATATCTATCTGGAGATACCAAGCACCTTGTGCTAAAGATATGGGTGATGAAAACAGACTCTAACAATTTAACAGTACTTAGCACCTCCAACCTCCATTAGGCTTTTCACATTCATTCAAATATTAATCTAACACTGAATAAATATTAGATTAGAAAAGCCATAAAGCCTAGCTCAATAACCTATTTGGGTCTTATCTTTATATAGTCAACACGGCTTTCCAATTCTTACTGGCATCATCATTCCATTTGCTTAATTAAGTACCTTGTTGGCATAAATGGAAGTCTGCCCAATGGAAATGAGAAGACAAGAGCTTTTACTCAAAACAGTTACCTTTCTAATTCAATGAAGGGGTGAACCAATATGTCTACAAAGAATGCCCAGCTCAGCTTGGTTTATTCCTCCATGGTGAGAGGTGATATAGTCTATGCCCTTCAGTCTTTTTAAGGCCCAGCAATGCTTCATTTAGCTAAAACTATCAGAGAATGGGATATGCAGTACATTCTAAAATGTTACACTGGTTATCTCAGGATTATGAGAATATAAGTCCTCCTCCTCCCTCTCTCCCTCCCTCCTTCCTTCCTCTCTTGCTTTCATTTTGTTTGCTTGGTTTTTAACTTTTTGTTGTGTACATCAGAAAAGCAGAGCCAGAGGGTTACCTGGGGAGGCATTGGGGTCACGGAGCCAACCTTTGGCCTGGTTCAGTTTGGAGTCTATGGAGGCCAATGCTCTCTTCATAGCTTCAGTGTCCTTTGAAGAGAAATTCTCACAATGATTTTCTTTGCAAAAATCGAGATACCATGATACAAAGTAAGACAGAGAAGAAGTTACAATATTAACATACAATAGCTAAGGTAGTCCAACAACGGCCTTAGAAATATTCTCATCACACCACAACTCTTATTTCTGTCAAAATGCAGCATCTTGCATGCAAATCTTTGGTTAATCCTATCCTGTTTCCTGGTGTCCCTGTTGCTAAAACTATGAAAACTGTTAAAATCACTGGAGCCAAAAGATGCTCAATGTCTCCAGCAGGAAAAAGCTCTGTTGTCACTTGCCTCATTTTCAGCCTTCCTACTAGTCAGCATTCATGTACTGTAGCCCTGCCAAAGCCCTCCCAGCTTCAGGGAAGCCTCATTAGTATGTGGTGCCACAAATCACAGTTCTTTTACATCTTGTTTTGAAATACACACACACTGGATGATGTTTTACTATATTTAACTAACCTGAAAAACTCTGAATTACTGCTTGGAAAAAAATTCAAAATGTTAATCTAGGAATTTATTTTTAATTCAGCTAAACTGCTAAATATAGAAAAAAAGTGTTTTTCTGGCCTTCCGTGCCTTCCTTATGCTTAGTTTCCTTGCCATCCCTAACCTAGAAGACGAGGCAGGATAAAGTGAGTGGGTCTCAGTTTACTGTTACAACCAGGTTTCATGATGACTAACATACAGCCTTTATCTTCCAGCACACAGCATGACAAGCTGAGACAAAAGACTACTCACTTTTTAAAAAATTATTTTAATAAAACTTTTTTAAATACAGAAAAATGCAGAGAACAATATAACAAATACCCAAATACTCGCCCTCAGAATTGAGACAATGGCCATCTCTTAAGTATCTTTAACACCTTAAAAGTCAGCCCATCTCCCTTTTGATCTAGGGAACTGATTCTGACAGAGATCAATCCATCAAAGCATGGAATTAACCTCTGAAATGCTAATGCCTTAAGTCCCTTTCAATTTCCAGACCCTGCAGGACTGGGCTTCTTAAAGTTGCTGCACTACCGGTTTTCCACACGGGGGGACCCGGAGCACCCTCACTTCTAATTCAAACAAGACAACCTAGCAGAAATAAGCGCAAGGAGCACTCATACCAAACCAAAAACCAAACTCGTTGCCAGCGAGTAGATTCCGACTCATAGCAACCCTATAGGACAGAGTTGAACTGTCCCATAAGGTTTCCAAGGGGCAGCTGGTAGATTCAAACTGCCAACCTTTTGGTTAACAGCCAAGTTCTTAAGGAGCATTCATACCTAACCTATTGCCATCGAGTCAATTCTGACTCATAGCAACCCTACAGGACAGAGTAGAACTGCCGCATAGGGTTTCCAAGGAGCAGCTCGGTGGATTCAAACTGCCAACCCTTTGGTTAGCAGCCATAGCTCTTAACCACTGTGCAACCACTCATAGTTAGGCCTAAGGTCAGCAGCCTGACCCTGCTTTTCCAACCTACCTATTCAAATTATAGTATTCTCAGCTTTAGGTTTCCCCATCTAAACACGTTATTCCCCTGCTGTAAACTTGATGTAGCCCCGGTGGCACAGAGGTTAAGAGCTCAGCTGCTAATCAAAAGGTCAGCAGTTGGAATCCACCAGCCACTCCTTGGAAAACCCTATGGGGCAGTTCTACTTTGTCCTATAGGGTTGCTATGAGTTGAAATCGACTCAACAGCCAAAGGGTTTGGTTTTTGGTTTTTGGTATCTGTAACCTTGATAGTGCTATCTAAGGCTCTAAATAGCAAATTCTTAGCTATAGCACTAAAGGAAGGTGGTCTAAATTACTGTAAAAATAGAAATACAACACAAAGGTCAACTTTAGCTCAATTACTTTAGCTTAATTCCAATTTATAAAAGCCCAAATCAATGCTTTTCAAGAGCACCTCAGGCAACTCCTAACCTCAGAGAGTCAACTTGGATAGCCTTTAGGGTCTAGCCTGTTTTAGGACTTTGTCTAGGTACAGATAAAAAAAAAAATCACAATTTCTTACTTTGGAAGTATGCACATACCCTGGAGAATAGAAATTATATCAATGTAAAAATATTTAAGACCTATTAATAACCATTTCCCTAACACGTTTATATTTTCAATGAGAAAATCAGTAGATATTTATTACATTTCAAAAATCTAAATTCAAAGGGAAACTAAGGTTAGAAATTATTTAGTGTCTGCTCTAATATTAAAAGCTGATTAGTTAGGAAACTAACTTTCATTGAGCATTTCCTACATGTTAGGTTCCGTTTTAGGCATTTTTTTGCCCCTCATTACTTCATTAAACCTCAAATTTAAATGTAATTTAATTTTACAAATCAAGAAGCAGAGGCTCAGACGGGTTAAGTAATACGCCCAAGTCAAAGACCTGATTAATCCTAGAAACCAATTTGATCTCAGGTTTGTTGACTCCAACCTGATTAAGGAAATAATATTGGAGTTATTATTCCCTCTCCTTGAGCATAGGAATGTGACCCAGCTGGAGCTGGGCTCACAAGGACTCACAAGGACACATCAACTGGGCCCTGAAATATAAAGACAATAGCTAAGATAATCTTGGAAAATATCTTTTAGGGAAACTTTCACATAAAGCCGATCAAACAGAACACAAAAGACTTTCTACTCTTGTCTTTTTCTATTAGCATTTAGTGAATAGAAATTTGTTGAACCAACGAAGAACGTCATAACTGTTGTTACTGAAACCTGTACCAATGATTGTTAAGAAAGACGATTCAAAATGTAGGATCACAGTTTCTAGCCAATCTGAAAAGGCTAAGCTTTCAATGGTTTTGCCCATTTGTAATGTTAATATATACTGATGGCTCTGTAACTGGTCTTTGGACTCGGGCAGACATGGCTGTGGCAGCATGCTTGTCCGTTTTCTGATTCTTGCCTATTCTGTAATATTCTTTGGACTCGGGCAGACATGGCTCTAGCAGCATGCTTTTCCGTTTTCTGATTCTTGCCTATTCTGTAATATTCTTTGGACTTGGGCAGACATGGCTCTAGCAGCATGCTTGTCCACTTCCCACTTCTGCCCTTTTGAATATATACCGAATAAAACTTTCTTTTTGCTTTACTAAACTTTGTGATGTTCCTCCCCTACAACAAACCCTCTTTAATTCATATCAGATAACACTCCGAAGTTTCTTCTTTAACCAAAGAGAGTCGCCAAGCATTCCACTAACATTCTTTCTTTTTTTAATGTTTTTTTCAATTGTACTTTAGATGAAGGGTTACAGAGCAAGCTAGTTTCTCATTAAACAATTAATACACATACTGTTTTGTGACATTGGTTGCTAACCCATGACATGTCAATACTTTCCCCCTTCTAGACCTTGGATTCCCCATTATCAGCTTTCCTGTCCCCTCCTGCCTTCTTGTCCTTGCCCCTGGACAGGTGTGCCCCTTTAGTCTCATTTTGTTTTATGGGCCTGTCTAATCTTCGGCTGAACGGTGAACCTCAGGAGTATCTTCATTACTGAGCTCTAAGGGTGTCTGGGGGCCATACTCTCCAGGTTTCTCCCATCTCTGTCAGACCAGTGAGTCTTTTTTTTTTAAGAGTTAGAATTTTGTTCTACATTCTTCTCCAGCTCTGTCTGCGACCCTCTACTGTGACCCCTGTCAGAGCATCCACTAACATGCTATGCTAGTTTGCAAACCTCTGCCCTGTAAATCTTGGTTTTGTTTAATTCTGCCCAGAAAAGAAGCTCTAGAAATCTAATTTATAATCCTCACTAGCCTAAATGACTACTGTTATTCTCCACTGCTCCCATATGATCTGAAAATCTGGCTTTGCTCTATTCAGTATCCTCACAAATTTTTTTTTTTTCTTTTCTCCCTTACAAAGCTGGAACGGTCACTCCACAGCAAGGAAAGAATGTGATTCTCAGGAAGTGAGTAATTTACTCCTGAGTGGGAGATATGACAACATCAAGATATTAAAATTAAGAGACACTCATTTGCTCCAAAAAGAATCAACGGTAATATTGGAATGAAACTGCATTTTAAAACTGAGAATTTCAATTAGTTACCAAAGTTTTTAACAGCTTTTAATTCAGAGTTTGATTTTTAGATAATTTTGCAGATTTAAAATAGTCACTGAAAGGGTCACCTTAAATTCTTTCTGGAATAGAGCAGTGTTATGGATTGAACTGTGTCCCCCCAAAAACATGTGTTGTAAATCCTATACAGGGACGGATTACCCAATAACCAAGGTACACACAGGTTTACTTGTACTTACTAATCTGTAGTGCACAATTTCACCACATCTTTGATTTGTGAAACAGAAATGGATTTTCTTTGTTATGTTAATGAGGCAGTATTAGTCTAGATAGTGTTTTAAGTCAATCTCTTCTGAGATATTAAGAGAGCAAACTGAGCAAGCAAGAAAGCAAGCAAGCAGAGATGGGGGAAGATAGATGCCACCTCACACAAGATCTCCAAGGAACCAAGAAACAAAGGCTGAAAAGAGACAAAGATCTTCTCCCCGAGGCAAAAGAGAAAGCCTTCCCCTAGAGCTGGAGTCCTGAATTTGGACTTCTAAACTAATTTTAAAATACATTTCTGTTTGTTAAAGCCACCCACTTGTGGTATTTCTGTTATAGCAGCACTAGATAACTAAGACAAGCAGGTTATAAAAAATCTCTTAAAGACAATACATTTTAATGACATAGCTATTAAAAACAAAAGTGTCTATGGGAACAAGTATCTTGATCTCCTAAGAATCTCACAGATATTTCCTTTGAAGGGCAGTATCTACGACAGTGAGACAATGTACTACTTGTAAGTATAAGGAGTACACTAACGTTGGATATGACATAAACAAATTCACTGAGGAACTAAGAAGAGGAGAAGTCAGTTTTGAGACATATTTATAAAGGGTGAAAATAATCACAACCCTCGTGGTCAACCATAACATGTACCACAAAGCTTTTTGTTAAACCTCTTCATGTAAATCTGAGTACCCAAAGTATAGTCTGGATACTTTTTATGAAGTAAAAGAGTGAAAAACTATACCTTCATTTGAGTACTTTTTTCTGTAAAAACTCAAATTTAGAAGAGAAAAAGTCTTCACTAATCTCTTACCTGGTGTGTTATTTTTAGAATAGGTGTAAAAAGACCAGGTCTAGTCATAAGGTTTGGGGACAGCTGGCAGGGATCTGGTTCCCTGCCCCCCCCCCCCCTTTTACCATAAAACTCTTAAGAGATCAATCTTAAATGAACAAACTGCAGTGCCTTGGCACTCTCTCGCACATCAAAAAGTAGAGGGACAACCTAAAAGAACCCCTTTTTGAATGTTATTCCAGGAACTGAAACACTTCTAAATTTTAATATAAATTTAGGCCTCAGAACACCTGCAAATAATATAAGTTCCTCTGATAGACAACAAAGAAGAACTGCAGTCAGAGAAGTGAACTACTGCAAGGCTCTAGAAAACAAAATATGGGGACTAAAGACCCCTCTCTTTCACTTTTCCAACCTACTGTTCCTTCTTCTGCTAACACCTCCCCTCCCCAACCATCCCGTTCCATCCCTTTCCTGACTACATTTCCATCCCCAAATCAATGTTTTAAACTAAGATATTCCTGAAAAGAATAGATTAGGCAGTGTTTAAAAAAAAAAAACCTCTTACAATGATGAGACAAAGTTGTCTGGCCCTGAGACTTCAGGCAAGTTACCCTCCCTGGGCCTCAGTTCCTCATCTCTAAGGATACTTTCCTAGCTCTAAAAATCTATTCCATCTATACACACACAATCAGGTATTATAACTAAAATATCACTTAGATCAGAAGGGAAACATCAATTCCTTTGATATTTTGAGCTTTTCTCCTTTTGGGGAGATTTAAAACAAAAAAACCCAGTTGCTGTTGAGTCAATGCCAACTCATGGCAACCCCATGTGTTTCAGAGAACAACTGTACTCCCTAGGTTTTTCAATGGCTGTGACCTTTCAGAAGAAGCCTGCCAGGACTTTCTTCCGAGATGCCTCTGAGTGGATTTGAACCAGATAAAGTGTAAATGAATAAATGAACTATTTATCCCAAACTCACAGAGAAGAATCTGTCATAGTTCTAAGCTGCTAAAATAAAGCACTAAAAGACTGATAAAAAGCTCACATGCCCTTTTTCAAAATTAAATGAAAATCAACTGTTAAATCTCAGTGGTCTGCAGTAAGAGACTGTATTACAGGGTTGCATGTTCTAACCATTAATGCGTTCTTTGGTAAAGTACAGTAATCTTCTTTGCAAGACACATGAGTCAGTTACTGCCTTTACCCACCACCAGCCTGGAAACACAGCGGGCAGAGACCCACGGCAGGAACAAATTCTGAACAAGAGTATCCAGTGACTCAAGGTGTAGAGGGGCAGGAGCGCCTATGTGGGGTTCAAAAATTCTTAGCAATGAAATGCTTTTAAATTTTTTCTTGCTGCATCTTAATTCTCAATATGCATCAAGATAAAAGTAATATAAAGACAAAAAAAGACTACTAAGATTTATATAAAACCGCAGATGTAGAGTGCTAAATTTACAAAGGGTAGAATTAGAGTTGTGTTTAACTCACAAATTCTTTTAATAAGGTTTTCCTAGGAAAAGTGCTAAATTAATTTTTAATGATCATTATAAGATGATTATTGATTTAAGGATGAGATAATTTTTATTTTCAAAATAAAACAAAAGGTTTAAAGACAAAGTTACTTTTAAACTTGCAAATCTGCAATTTGAATGTACAATAAAAGGTAAAATGATCAACTAATTTTCATGCTGCCTCTTTAAAACCTTAATTTATTTGGCAAGATGCACTTTACTGATGGGGACGTGGTTGGGAGTGAGATTTGCCATGTATGTCTTTTTACAGCATTTTGATTTTTGAACCAGGTAACTGTATAACAAAAGCAAAATCAGGTTAATAAATTAAGTACATATGATGTCATTATGTACTTAAACTTTTTTTTTTGTGAACTGATTTATTTTACTTTTTTTCATTCCTGAAAAAGTTAGTTTTGCAGCAACCTAACAATCTTGGTTTCTCCAAATCAGCATAAAACTGGGATAGCTACAAGACTGTACATGGTGGGGACCAGGTCTATTTCTCTTACATATCCCAAGTGCCTAACCCTAATACTGAAAAACTTAACTGACCACATTTTTTTAAAGAAGTAGCTCTTGATGGCACTTGCACAAAATAAAGCTTCATAACACTTGCAGGCTAAATGATGACTTTTCCCCTCTGAAAATACTGAAAGATTAATGTTTCAATGCCTGCTCCTCCTTATCACTATCTGTCATTTGCTAGAAGCAAAGACGAGAGAATAAGGCAAGAGGTTAGGTTAGGGAAACATGAGGTTGATGGCTGATTCACAGCGTAGACAGCAGAGCATGCAGTGAGCCATCAACTGAAGTTAGGGAACTCTAAAGATACACCTTACTTCTTTTTTTTGATTTTGAAGCCTTAGATTATTATGAAAGACAGGTGCCTCACCTAACCTCTCTAGCCTACCCCTTCCCTTTTCATTATGGCTTAAAACCTCAATGAAGAGAGCCACAAGCAAAATTCCAGAGCCTGCAAACGAGACTGGTGGGAGAGGCAAATACAGAGATGGTATCGGTCACAGGTCTCCTTTCCTAAGAATGAAACCCATCCCTCAAATGAAGTCAGTGGAAATGACCAGGCCAAAACAGTTCTAAGGAGCCTGCTCAAAAGATGAAAGTGCCCACCAAATACGGAAGGCCTGACATCCCATAGTAATGTCTTCCCTTTTGTTTTTCCCCAAAGACATAGCTCAATTAGCTATCTGGCTCTAACTGAGAGTCAAACAGCCCACTCAGCACAGCCCAGAGTTCCATACTCAATCCCATTCTGACGCAGAGTCGAGCACAGTGTTACACACCTGCACACAGAATAAGGCACGGCACACAGCACAAAAACCTCACAGACATGCTTATTCTCTTTTTAAGCAAAAAAGAAACTAGAGGGCAAGGGAACGCTTACCTTCTAAATGTGAGAAAAAGAATAAAACAAACAAGAGAACAACAACAAAAAAAGATGCATAAAGAAGTCATAACAGGGAAGTGAAAGTTGTCAAGTATGCAAAAGCAGAATTAAGTAAAACATCAAAGACTTAAAAAGGTTTTACCAATAGATTTAAAATACAGTCTTAGAATGGTTCAAGAACTTCATGTCAATGAGAAAATGCTTCCATAAACAAATTGCAGTTAAGATACACTGACTAATTTTTTCTGCATATTTAGGTTAGCTTTCTGAGCAACAAGAAAGAGCTGGCAATACTAGGTCCCAACTTTGACCTTACCTTATAGGTTTCCTGGATGATAACCATGGCCCTATAGAGCATCCAGTGGAAATCATACCACAAAATTCCCTTTTTAGCTCTGACTGCTGGGTGACAGTCAACATTTGGTCACACACAGGAAAGGTGGACCAAGGAGACAGTGTAATCACATGACTGCCTGCATCTTGGGCTCCTACAAGGGAAGTATCAACCCAAATGTCTCTGTCCCCCCAGACCTGGAAGCTTTGTTCACAGAGCTTCAAGGGAGAAGTAGACCAGGTGCAACAGGACACAAAACCAACGCTGACAGGCTCTAAAAGGAATCCACCAACCCCTTCGGAGTTCAAGAAGAGACTCTAGACAGAGAGAGCAGGGGCCCCGCAAACTAAATGATAAATGTGAAAACTAGTATTTTAATTAAGGTTTCCTTAGGAAAAGGGAGAAGGGGCTCCTCAAACTAACTGATGAATGTGAAATTAATATTTTAATTAAATTTTCCTTACGGAAAATGAGATGGTCGAGGGGCACATCTAGAAATGCCGGAAGTTTTGTTTCCTCTGTAGATCTCTCTGCATCAAAGTTGGTTGAGAAAAAGTTTTTCATATGGTCCAGAGTCAAAGGGTATTCTGTATCTTACTTAGTCGCCTGGTAACAACCACCCATATATAAGGCAGGGTTTCCTGGCCCAGCCCTCTGTAAGGGGAGTGTGTACCATAAGAGAATTCCTCCACCAGCCCAACCACCGTGACTGCAGCCTGAAGGAAAAGCTACACATCTCAGCCTTCAACCAACACTCATCCCACATGCCTATCTGATCTACCTTGGTAAGAAAGGAAATTTACAAAGGCAGCAAGTAGTAATCCATGAAATAAAAGTGAAGAAGAAATTACTTTCTTAATATCTGCATTGTCTTATACTACATTCAGTTACAAGATAAAACGTGAGACAGGTGACAATCAAAACCCTTAGAAGGGAGAATCTGGGATCGTGCTTACTTATCCACTAATTGACACTTACCTTGCTGGCCCAGGCATCTTCATCCCAAGAAGTGAGTTGTAATACACGAATGATCTCATTAATTTCAGCACTCATCTTTTCAACAGTAAAATTGCGATTTTTCAAGGCTTCTTCTATTCCTTGGTTTTTTGAGTTTTTAGTTGTTACAAAAATCTTCATAGCTATAAAAATAAATGAAAGAACAGAAACTTAGCTTGGAATTTAATCCTGCTGTATAACATTATCCACACAAGATGCCCCATCCATGCTTTGAACACATGCTTTGGGCTTCAAAGGTCTTAAGAACATACAAAACAAACACTGCCAATTCCGCTAGCAATGTTCCAACTTCCATAATTTTCACTGTAAAGAAAACTCGAGGTACATAATATCACACAATATGATTAGGGAACTAATTCAACATCCATATACTGATGACTTAGAATCACCAAATATCCAATCTTCTCCTAAATCAGTTATCATCCTGGCCCTACCCCTGGCCCCATCCAATGCAAACCTAATGGGACAAAATTAAAATAGTCAGTAAAACTGTGAATGGAGCATCCTGCTGCCCCCAATCTCAAGGAAAGATCCCAAGGTGTAAAATTTATCTTCCAGGATTTCTCTCAACATGCAGCAGTGACTTTCTAACCCCCAAACAAAATGAAGAAGAAAAAGAAATAATATGAAGCAGTGAAGAGAGACAAAATTATTAAAATTATTAAAATAATTAAAAATTTAAAAATAAAGATTGACACTTTACTGACTTACCCAGGTTAGAAAGAAACCCTCTTCCCAACAGTCCTTCTCCCATATAGAAAAGTTGGCCTCAAAACATATTTCCACGGTGACTATAGAATTTTATAATTCATATAAGGACTCTCTGAACTCTTACATTCACATCTCCTTGTTTAGCTACTACCTCACATGCCAAAGCAGGTAAGCGGTAGCAGGAGGTCACAGTGACATGCCTCATAAAATTCTGAAAATAAGGCTGCCCTCTGAGAGTTAAATTTGTCCACAACTTGAGTAGCGCATGTAAACCACGAGGAATCTGGCATATAGTAGACACTTAATAAGTACAATTCCCTTTCAATAGCTGAGAAAGCAGCCACCATGTTTGCATTTCTGGGCTCTGCCCATTGGGAAGGTGGGCCCAGCTGGTGACTGTAGAACTGATCTAGTCACAATGTAGAGAACAGTTAAATATCTTTTAGGTAAAACTGTGCTAACACAACACTGAAAAGGGCTGTAGTTCACTTCTTTATGACAGTGCTCGATAATATCCATTCCAGCTCCTAGCTGTTTTTCATAATGCAAATAAAGGTGTCAAAATTTATACATCCAAGACTAGAGCTTCTAGAGGCAATTCCACCTCCCAGGAAGAGGGCCTGTTAGAGCTTCAGAACAGAACTGAGCCCCAGAAGGGAAGTTTCAAACACAGAGCAGGAGAAGGAGAGCGTTAGAAAGAATACTGGTTCTCAGCCCATCAGCCATAGGCCTCATGTAATACCCGATCAGCCACATCCTACTTTTACCCAGGGTGAAAGACACACGACAAAGCAGCAAAGAAAATGAACTCAGAGTTTAGAACGGTTAACATTTTTTTCTTGTAAAATAGAGGCAGGGAATACCTGAAATGAGAACCGGCAGCAACTCTTTGACGGTGTTCATTGAGTTCACCAGCATCACTCGGTGCTCCTGATGGGTGAGCTCCTGCTGTCTCTCGTCAATCATCTTGGCCATCTTGGTCATTCCTTGTGCAGAGGGGACAAATCGTGCAGGGTGAGGAGAGCAATGATCCAGGGTTCTGGCTTTTCTCAGCCTAAATCTATTAAGAATTATTATGAAAGTCCAAACTGCCCACTTATTTAAAGGACAGACACCATCACAACTCTAGTATTTATAATATAGAATTTTTCAGGATGGTTCTGACTCCATACAGGTTTATTCTTTTCAATAAAAGAAATTTATTCAATGTAAATCCTCAACATGATATTTTTATGTTTGACATACATTCACAATTGAAAAAATATTGAAATAAAGAAATATATTTTTATAAAAAATAAATTCATAAGTCAGGGAAAAAAAATATTTTGCCAGGCTACCATTGGTACAGGTTTAATGCCATGTATCTAGGCACTGCGCTTATGCTATGTAAGAATATCACATGAACCTAGAACTAAGAATCTGGTGGCTGGAAAAAAAGTCTCAAGAATTACAATGATGTGTTTTGTTGTCATCTTCATATTTTTTCTGTAATTTCCAATTTGCCCAAAATAAGCATGTAGTACTTTTATAATTAGAAACAAATAGAAATATAAAAATAATCATGGCGATGAGTATTTGAAAGCATCTGGTGTTTTGAATCAGCCTGCTAGCACTTTCTGTTTACTTTCGTTATTCTTCAAAGGCGCTGTGTGATTCTCTAAAGCTTTGATTATTAAATTGCTCCTAGGATGTCTCAAGTTGTCTCATAAACCACCAAGGGATACCAAAGGGAGGCAGAAAGGTGGGGCTGCCCCTGCTTCACCCAAATAACTCTACTTTTATCTTTTATATGTTGGGATTCTGCGTAAAATTTCATTTGGGGAAAAATTTTTTTCCAGTGTTATAAGAAAGTTTAAAAGTACTGCTCTAAAGCCATCAAGGAAAGCCTCTTCGCAGTGATCTTCAATGATGACTCAGAAAAATTCTTAACTGTCGTTAAGTTTACAGAAAGACTACACTGGAACCTCGTGAAAATACTGTTAATTAAAAATCAACATTTCACTTAAGACAGGTCCTTACAAGGGTACGTTTAAATTCTGTCAAAAAAATTTTGTAAGGTGGTGTGTGACTTTCAATTCTGACAAGTTAAATATCTCATGTGTCTTGCCATGGGTCTTATTCATACTTTAAGGACCCCCAAGTTCACATTCTAGGTCTATAACATCAAAAGCTGGTATCTGTTCACGTATTTTGATTATTTAATTTTCAGGAGTCTAAACAATCATTTCAAAATGAGATTTAACCACAATGATGTTCTCTCCTTCTAGGACTGGTTATATTATGCACTCTTGGGCTAGGGCGTGAATCCATAATAGTATGGACTAATTAGCAAGCTACGAGGTCATAAAGAGCTACAGGCCAGCTGGCAGACGGTGAAGGAATGCTGTGGAATGTGGAATGAAGAGGTCAGAATACGGGGTGGCCTGAAGCATTACGGTAATAGAAAAGTATTGCCTACATCCTTCGGCAGCATTTGCAATGTCTGGTTTAATTCATTAGACAGGCCAGGATTTGTAGAAAGCAGATTCAGCTTTCAGAGACAATGACATCGCCTCTTTAGAAGCATAGCGTCAGCTCCATCAGCAGAGCAGACACCTGAAAGCCCAACGCATCACCACCTTTCTTCCACAAAAATGGGTGCGGGGGGAGCTACAGGAGTAGTCCCCTGCATGATCAAACACAGACAATCCATAAAAAACGTATTAGAAACTTTGGATACAACTAACCTGGTCCAAGATTCTTTGTGTAAGTGACCAAATCTTCCATAGTTTCCACCACTTCTGCCACTGTAAGATATTCCAAAATTCCTTTGCATACTCTAATAATTTTACGAACCTGCAAATTTATTTCAGAGTAGTCAGTCAAGTGAACGGACATTTAGTGGAAAACATGATAATGCAGGTGCATAGTTATTCAGCCTTTTCTCAACCTAAACAAACATCAATCCTTCGTTATTATCTTTAAGACTGAGCTTTTTGTGGGGCGGGGGGCAGGGGGGGTCTACAATTAGCTCGCCCATCTTGTAAATAGTGCAACCACGGTTTATTAGGAAATAAGCGGCGCAGGGTTATACCTCCAAATGTTTCTTGAGAGGGCCCTAAGAAAGGCCTGTAAGTCCTTCTAAACCCACCTGGGGTGCCCAGGTTCATGTTCAGCTTTCAAGTCCCACCCTCCCTGATAGCTAGTGAGGCAGGAGATAGTATAGGCCTCAGATTGCCTACCTCAGCCTCATCGAAGGTGAGGAGCAGGTCTGATGTGCCAGAGAGGATGCCTCGTGATCCATCGATGAGATAATCTCGAGCTGGCACTGAGTAAGGGTCTGCCTGAAGCATCTGGGCTGCCTGAACAAGCTTGGTGCAAGCATTCTCAACCCTGTGGGGAAGAACATGGGATTAATTAACTGGAGGACACCAAGCAGAAGAGTGTCATATGCAAATGCAAGTACATAAATTCATATTTTTTCCTTAAATGGAAAACAGCCAAGACCAGTTGATGAGAGGACCTAAGTTTTTGGATTTTAAAATGTACAGTTAAGAGCAGCACATCCATTCATTCATTCACTGCACTGAGCCGTTGTTCTTCATTATTTCCTGGCAATAAGAAATGATGAGGAAATGTTTTGGGCCTTTTACTTTAGGTTGCTATATCTCTGTAACTACTTCATTTCCTCACTCCTCCCCACCCTATACACACTGATGTTAAAAAGATACTGCACAAAGAACTGAAATCCTTAACAGCATTTTCAGATTTAACATCTGAAAATAAAATGCCAAAGCATTATGTAAAGTGAAATATAATAACTAGACTAAGCCAAGGAATAGGAGGAAACACAAGGAAAAACTATGAGGTAATACATAAATTTTTCATTCATCTAGCTAAATGGATTTATTTGACAAATCCACTGAACTGTTTGACAACAGCCCTATAAAACTATCTTGTTAATTAAAACTTCACTGGAATTAATAACTGAACTTGAGTTAACACAGACTACCAGATCAGCCAAGGGCTTGGGAGGGTTCATTTAGAAGAGAAACTCAAAATGCATAAACCTATAAGTAAAAGGTATTCATTCATTCAATTGTTCATCCATACAGAGCTGAAAAGGACATTATAGATCATTTCTTCTAATCTCATATTCAATATACCATCATGTTATTACTGAGTAACTTATAAAGACATGGAGCAAACAACTTAAAATATTTAGCCAAGCTATACATTGTTATTTGAAAACAAAGAGACACAGAAAATCTCACATGCAAATAAAAGCCTATTTTACAGGACTGTTCTCAGGATGAAATAAAATAATACAAAGCTCCACAAGTACAAAACATTGTTGCATTGTTAATAAACAGAATTAAATCAACATATGAATTTCAACTACCCAAAGGGCATTAGACCATGGACACCATACCCATTTTTTTATCCGTTACTATTGAGTTGATTCCGACTCACAACGACCCTACAGGACAGAGTAGAACTACCCCATAGGGTTTCCAAGGTGGATTCAAACTGCTGACCTTTTGGTTAGCAGCCGAGCTCTTAACCACTGCACTACCAGGGCCCCACCCAAAAGGCATTAGACCACGCACACCATAGATATGTAAATAAAGATGTATAAAGCACTGTTCTAACTCTCAATAATCATACGTTAATAAGCTCCAACAAAAACATTGGAATCATAAGGCAGTACGTAATAAATATCAGTGAAGGTCAAGACCTTGTCAATGTGGCATTTGATCAGATTTTTAAAGGGTTGGTTGCTTTTCTTCCCTTTTAAATAAAATTTTAATTTTAAATTATATAATATGTATATTCATATATTTTACACAAACATATCAACATACATAAAAATAAAAGGATAATACATTGAAAAATCTCCTGCCCTCCACTATCTCCCAGGTACTCAAATTACATTCCACAAGCAACCAATGTTATGACTTTCCTCTGTATTCTACAAAAAGATATTTTATGCACACAGAAACAAACACGTCTGTTTTCCCCACTTTTATACATACAGGATCATAATATGCACACTCTCTGCATTCCACCTTTTTTCCTTAAGTTGGAGATATTTTCAAAATAGTACACCAAGAGCCTCCTTGTTCTTTTTTACAGCTACATAATAGTCCATAATTTGTTAGCCTGGCCCCTATTGATAACCATTTAGGTTGCTTTCATTTTTTGTTATTATAAACAATGCTGCAATAAATCATCATTTTTCACTGTATAGCTTTAGGATATAGTCTAGAAATGGAATTGCTGAGCTATTTTTGTTGAGCGAATACACAGCAGAACACATCCCAATCCAACAGTTTCTACACGTACAATTCAGTGACACTGATTACATTCTTAGAGCTGTGCAACCATTCTCACCCTCCGTTTCTGAGTTGTTCCTTCCCCATTAACATAAACTCACTGTCCCATAAGTTACCTATCTAATCTTTCAAGTTGTTCTCAATTTGATCCCATATAGATAGTCTTTAAAAGAGCACAAAGCTCAAAGCAGGCATTTTTTATTAGTTAAGCTGAACTATTGTTTGGTTTTAAGACGATCTCAATACAGTTTTAATTTGCGCTCTTATTATGAGTGAGGTTGAGCATCTTTTCATATTTTTTTAAATACAAAGTAAAACCACACACATAAAAGACTGCATAAACGTTATGTTCTTTGAACATAATCCCCCTTCCTGCACTCCAGATGTAACCATTTTTCTGAATTTTGTGTTAATTATTCCCTTGATTTTCTTTAGATACGTTGTTACTGTCGTGTGCTCTCAAGCCAATTCTGACTCACAGCAACCCTATAGGACAGAGAACTGCCCCATAGGGTTTCCAGGCTGTAAATCTTCATAGAAGTAGACTGCCACACGTTTCTCTCACAGAGCAGCTAGTGGGATCTTTCTGTTAGCAGTCAAGCACTTTGACCACTGCACCACTACGGCTCCTTTTAGATATGTATAACTAAGCAATTTACTGTTTAGATTTGCCGATATTGGAACCTTTACTTATCATAATAAATCAAACTGCTTAATACCAATAATAAAGAGAAAATTTTAAAAACAGCTGGAGAGAAATGACACTTTATATACAGGAGAACTAAGATAAGAATAACATCAGACTTCTCGCTGGAAGTAATGCAAGGCAGAATTTAGTGGCGCAATATCTTTAAAGTACTGAAAGAAAAAAAATCTGTCAATCTAAAATTCTATAACCAATGAAAATACTTTTCAAAAAGAAAGACTTTTTCAGACATACAAAGGCTGAAAGAATTCAGCCTGCACTGTAAGGAATGTTAAAGGAAGTCCTTCTTTAAGAAGGAAAATGATACCAGATGAAAGCTAGGTGTACACAAAGGAATGAAGAGCACTGGACATGATAACTATATGGGTAAATATGAAAGACTTTTTTTCTTATTATTTAAATATCTTTAAAAGATAATTCACTGAGACTTTACCAAAAAAGTGAAAAGATAAGCTACCAACTGGGAGAATATCTTCAGAAGTCATATATCCAATAAGAATATAATAACCAAAACAGATATAAAACTTCAACAACTTAAGAACAAAAAGACAAATAACCCAATCATAAAATGGGCAAAGGACTTGAATAGACATTTCACCAAAGAAAAGATTCAAATGGCCACCAAACACATGAAAAGCTGCTCAACGTCATTATAGCCATTAGAAAGATGCAAATCAAAATCACAATGAGATACCATTTCACTCCCACTAGGATGGCTAAGATGAAAATTAAACAGAAAATAACAAATGTTAGTGAGGATGTGGGGAAAGTGGAACCCTTATCCATTGCTGGTGGGAATGCAAAATGGTACAGCCATTGTAGAACAACCATATGACCCAGCAATTCCACTCCTAGGTATATACCCAAAAGACTTGAAAGCAGAGACTCTAGCAGATATTTGTACACTGCTGTTCATTGCGGCACTAGTCACAATAGCCAAAAGGTGAAAACAACCTAAATGCCCATCAACAGATGTATGGATAAACAAAATGTGGTACATACTTACAATGGAAATTACTTGGCCAATAAGAGAAATGAAGTCTTGATATACGCTACAATGTGAATGGTGCTTGGAGACATTATGCTGAGTGAAATAAGTCAATCACAAAAGGACAAATATTCTATGATCTCGCTTAAATAAAAAGATAAGAACAGGCAAATGTATAGAGACGTTAAGTTTATTAGTGGTAACCAGGGGTGGGAGGGCGAGGGAAAAGGGGAGGGAATTATTGCTTATGGAGTACTGAGTTTCAGTTTATAGTGACGGAAAAATCGTATTAAGGGTAGAGTTGCACAGCCAATTAATGTAATTGTTGTCAATAAGTTGTACACCTGTAAAAAGTTGAATTGGCAAAAGTTGTGTGATAGATATAACAATGATCAAATAAATAAATAAAGGAGCAGCTGCTGAGGCTATTTATGTACAACCAAACACCTCATGGGATTTGGTTCCTTGGTTTGGAGGTTTAGGGACGTAGCTTTATGGGACATCTCAGTTAATTGGCCTAATAACATGTTTAGTGTTTCTGTTCTACCTCCTAGTTCGTTGCACTGTGCCCGAGGTCTTAAAAGCTTACAAGCTGCCGTCCAAGGCACAAGTGGTCTCTATTCTCCTGAAGCAATAGAGGAAGAAGGAGTCAGGAATAGGGGGAAGAAATAGAATGTGTGGCTAACTGCCTCCATGAACAACTGCCTCCTTTGCCATGAGATCAGAACTGGATAGCACCTGGCTACCATTACTGAACATTTTGATCAAAGATTCTATAAAATAATCCTGATCAAAAAGGGGAAAGAATTACAAATTCTCATGGAATGTAGACTTTCTAGAGACACTGAAGCTGGATGAACCCCCGAAACTATTGCCCTGAGATAATGTTTAAATTTTAAACCAAAAATATCACCTGAAGTCTTCTTAAAACCAATAGTTTAGCTTAACTAGTAAAGAATGTCTGCCTTGAGCGTTATGCTCTTTTAAGAACTATCTATATGGGATCAAACTGACACAGCAACTCAAAAGATTATATAGATAGGAACCTTAGGGAACAGTGAGTTTATGTTAATGGGGAAGGAACAACTCGGAAAAGGAGGGTGAGAATGGTTGCACAACTCGAGGAATGTTATCAATGTCACTAAATTGTACATACAGCAACTGTTGAACTGGTGTGTTTTGCTGTGTATATTCTCAACAACAACCACAAAAAATAAAATAAATTATAGTTAAAAAAGACAATTCATTGACCGACCTAAAAACTTTTTAAAAAGTGAAATAAAAAATAAATAAATCTGATTTGGTTGACTAGTTGGACAATGAGGACTGGCTTTGCCAATGAGGTTATACAGCAAATGTTTTC